AATATTTCAGTAGTGAAGTTGTAAACTCAATCGATCGTTATTATTATTTTTTTTCCTTTTTTTGAATGATCAGAACTGTTCTTCATTCCTATTCTACAAGATGCCGCATGCCGAAAGATGTGCAAATCCAATGCGAGTTCCTGGGGAGAAAGGTCACAATGGAAAAGACCTGCGTTCAATCTCAGAAAGACTACGACAGACATTTCCATTCTTGCCAGAAAATGCAAAACTATGTAGCTCCTGTAGGAAAAGAGCTTTGACTTACATTCCTGGATCACTACCCTCTGAATCTTCATCGAATCGGGAAGTCTTTTCATCGTCATCAAATGTTTCAGCCGATCGTTCGTCCAGTGCCACACCATTTCTAGTAGACATTTCTACGAGCAATATCGCAGGGAGTTCTTTGAGATCAGGTAATTCCTTCCATTCAATTGATCCTGATGGGGATGTGATTTTCAACGAAGCTTCAGAGGAGTACGATGCTCCAACAGCAGATGATGATTCAGAGACAGAGCACCACAGGAACATTCCAGCAAATTTTCGTTCTCCACGAGAATTGGAATTGGAAGAAATGTTGGATGGACTCAAGCAAAAATTCAATACGATGACAGAATATTCTGAACGTATTCAACTTTTGACTATTGTTCCACCTTCATGGAGTGAGCGAAAGGTGAGCCGTGGATTTGGTACGACAAGGTACATGGCTATGAGAGCAAAACAACTGCGAGAACAGAGAGGAATATTTGCTTCAACATTTGCGAAGGCTGGAAAATCATTGCCCAAAGAGACAGTTGAAAAGGTCCGGAGTTTTTATCGGAGTAATAGTCGGATGATGCCAGGGATGGAGGATAAAGTATCAGTCAGAATCAACGATGTGAAGAAAATAATGCAGAAGCGGATGGTCCTCGAGAACTTGAATGATCTTCATGAGACATATAAAATTGCTCATCCAGAGTCTCCGGTAGGATTCAGCAAGTATGCGGAATTGAGGCCGAAACACTGTGTCTTGGCAGGAGCGAGTGGTACGCACGTCGTATGTGTCTGTACCTATCATCAAAATTGTAAGCTGATGTTGGATGCAATCAACATTTCTACTCTCACTGAAAACTCATCATGTCCCCTTACCGACTATAAAGACTGTCTTGCAAGACTCACGTGCCCTAATCCAACGCCTGAAATCCACTTAGATGAGTGTAAAAACTGTCCTGGAATTGAAGGATTATCGCTCGAGCTGAAAGAACTCCACGATGCTGTGATTGAAACTGTAGAATTCAGGAGGTGGCAATCTGTGGATAGAACAATATTATAGACCCAGAGACTTCCAGTGTACGAATTTGTTGATGTACTTTGTGAGAGATTGAAAGTGTTGAAATCTCATCATTTTATTGCCACACACCAAAACGCTTTCACGAAAGAACGAAAGGAAAATTTATTTGAGGGTGAAATTCTAGTGCAGGCCGATTTTTCGGAGAATTATTCTGTCGTAGATGAAGACGCTGCTCAATCGTTCCATTACAACAATGATCAATGCACTGTCCATCCTGTCGTGTATTATTATCGCCACGGCAATGATTTTCGATATCGAAGTCTAGTCCTCTTATCTGACAGTCTCGTTCACGATACTACTGCAGTTCATTTAATGCAACAGATTCTGATACGACACATAAAACAAGTCTGTGCTGTCGTAAACGAATTGATCCATGTTACAGATGGTGCTGGACAGCACTATAAGAATCGATATAACATGGCTAATCTTTTGTTGCATAAAAATGATTTTGGAGTTGAAGCACAGGCGCACTATCATGCGACTGCGCATGGAAAGACGGCAAGACGAAGAAGTCTGCCAATTACTGATGGTGAACCTATTCTCACACCAGATGGTCTGTTCCAGTGGGCAAAGAATAATTTCAAGGATCTCGATGTGTTTTTCTACACTAAACGGGAACACGAGGATATAAAAGAACGGTTGGAAACAAGATTCGATAGTGCAAAGGCGATTCCAGCGATACAAAAAAATCACGGTTTCATTCCTGTGGGAGAAAAGAAATTATTGATTAAGAGATATTCTTCTGCGACTACGGGAGAAGTTTTTCCAATGGCGAAGAAACGAAATGGACGACGTACATTAAGATAGCCATTGTGATTCAGGAAAGTTCGATTTCAAATTGCTTTTTCTCTATAATTTAATGTTTATTTTTCAATTTACAAACTTAAAACAGACGTAAACATTGTCGTTTACATAAGTAGAGCTGTTAATAATCAATAAATTCAACTTTTTTCTGTAAAAAATGTTTTTTATCCATCGCTACTTATGCATCTCATCTTCAAATTATGCCGAAAAATTGCACGCTCATCCTTTCATGAGGCATTCATCATTTTTCAGGAACAAAATTCGGAAAATCTAATTTGTCATGAGAAAAAAAAGTTTCTCTCATCTCTATATGGCTATCCCATTTTGAAATATCCTGAAAAAGTTGAGTAATATCATTATCCATCGAAGAAAAAAAAATGATTCGATTTTCGAATGGCCCCTCCATAACACAAGGATTTAAATAATAAAAAACTTAAAAAATGAGTCATTATTCTTCCTCGTGGTACTGTCGTATTTTTATTCCAAAAGTATATGAAAAAACGAAAAAAATCTTTTTTTATTCATCAAAATAAAATGTATGTACTTATGTAGTACTTGACTGGCAGTATGCTAATTCAAGATTCGGCGAACCAAAAAATTCCAGGGTGGCTGAGTTGACATGGAATGTCCCATTCGGGATGAGGGAATATGAATAATTTTTAATAATGGGTTCAGTATTTGATTGTTAAAAAACAAGTGGATAATTGCATCCTTTGTAAATGAGTATAATTATTGTTGCTAAAAAATTAGCCACATGCTTCCGAATGGATTCTGTGTTTTTAAAATTTTTACCCTACTACTTCTTTTCTTCGTTTTTCCTGTCATAGTACTGTTATTAATCACAATATCGTCAAAATTTTTGACTCATTTTTCGCTTCTTTCTTTGTCTTATCTTGTATTGTGTATTCAAACCCTCATAAGTCCGACTCCGACTTTAGTCAGGTTTTAATCAAGGTTTAATTGTGATTTCAACTGAATATACTATAGTCAGGGTTCGGCCGAAGTTCAACTCGCGGATGAACATGATTTAGTCAGAGTTTAGTCGATGTTTAGCCGGCGTTTTACCCGGTTCTAATCGGATTTAATCGAAATTTTATTGTGATCCAAGCAAAATTTAGTTGGGGTGTTATTGGAGTTTAATCTAGATTTAATCTAGGTTTAATCGAGGTTTAGTCGGTGTTTAATCTGGGTTTAATCATACTTTAGCCGAGATCAAGTCGAAACCAAGAATAATTATGGATAAGACCGACCAACCAACATAATAATAGACGGATATGTGAGTTTAATAGAAATTCCTTATGTAAAAAGCTCATAACGCTATTATGCCCCTTGATAAATAACAATGCCATCTTCACTATCTTTTCACTTAATCGAGAACGCATCAGAAGAAACTTTTTGAGCCGTAATTTCATTGATATGGCTGCTAATTTTTCCAGTTTATCATGAAAAACATGAAAAAAAACATCTCACAAACAATATGCTGTAGCTCAATAATGAATTGTCCGATTTCCATCATATTCTTAGAGAATCAAGAGGCTATCGATACAATTTTTTAAGCCATGATTAATTCCATTTCGATAATAATTTGTGGACTGATCGTCGAAAAATCGATTTTTGAAAAAATACCAATATTTAAAAAACTCGATGAATAATTCAACTTTAACTGGTGTAGATGAATGGAGTTTATTAAAGTCTATATCCGTGGAAACATTCATGAAATTCCATTGAACCCCTGTAATGAAAATCGCGAAAAAAAATCGGAAAAAAGTCCACACACATACATACATACATACATACATATATGCATATACACACCCTCTAAAAATCGCAGATTCACATTTTTTTGACCATATTTAGTTACCCTGACACAAAAATTTGGAAACTTAAATTTGAACCATTACAAAGCTTCCATTCGAAAGCAAAAATTTTTCCTTTTCTCATGTGTGGTGGACCACACACATCAGAATACCATGTGTGGTTTCTGCCACATACACCACACACCTTTTGCCGGGCCTGAGCTTATTTTTTTATTCAAATCAAAATTTCCCATTAATTCAAGTCTTCTCCTTCCTCACGTGAAATCATTTATCAACAATTGTAAAAAATGACCTCACAGGCATTGAATATTTTCTGGTTGTCAGCATAACAAAAAAATTACCTATTATACCAGTATTATTGTTGATAGCAAATTTTGAGTTTTATGTCAATAATTTTACGACAAGAACGTATAAATGGTACAGTGTAAAAGCGTCTTCCGCTCTTCCACTCTTGAAATTGTTACAGTTACCCCGACTGTTTGGTTGAGGACTTTTTAACTATATGTAGAAGTCCGCATGAAAAGGGATCGCTTTGTCGATTCTAGTTTTCAATATATTCACGTTTTTGTCTCAGCAACTCCCATTTACACCCATGTTAAATTGTTTTTTTTTTCAACTTCTCTGGCGACGGTATTTTTTAACCCATGAGGATCATTTTTGGATCAAAATGTGCGGAATGTTACCAATATTATCAGAGAATGCATAACTCCATATTGACAAGGTGGTCCCTTTTCATGCGGACGTTCACATATATTTGCAGTACAGAATACGAAATTTTTGTGTCGGTGAATATTCAATTTTTATCACCTATTTATTTATGGAAATAGATGATTCTACGCACTTCATGAATATAAAAAAAATTATTCAATCATGTATTTCATTCGAATTTACTCAACAAGTCGAAGGTAAACCAGTCTTGCCTTGGGATATAGCAAGTTGTATGTGAATCGTGGCTACCGTTCAGATTAATTCAAGGTCATTCGGATAGGCAATGAAAGAGTATATAAGATGACGAAATAATTGATGAATACAATCTGATTTCAATCACTTACTTGCTGGTGCAATAAATCCAACGTTGAAGATGAGTCCAGACCACGTGGTAAAGCTCTGGCGGTAATTAGCTGGTTGGAACTCATTAACATATGGTATTAAAAGCGTGAATGGTCCACTGACTCTGAAATGTTATGAGAAATTGGTTATCTATGTATCTTGTCTCGTTCTTTCAGAACATATAGCAATTGAATACAAGGTATCTCATTCCATTCAGATTATTTCCTCGAGAATTAAAAATACGGGCCAATCTGCGAAATATCACATGAAAATCTGGCCGTCAAAATGTTTCATCATGTTGTTCTGGTTTTTTGAATACTTATGAATAGAAAAGATTTTTTACTTATCTGAATGCCAACCAATAGAAATGCCGTATTTGACGTTGTATGACGAAGTCGGAGTAGAATTATTACGATTATTTTTCCCATCACCTTTCCGAACAGTAGAATTCCCGTATTCGACGTTCCGTGGATCAATCAGAGGAGAATTATATCGATAATTTTGCGTCGTTCGGTAATTTTCCCGTTGTCAAGCAAAATAACGAAGAATTATCGATTGTACCACGATGACTATTTGTGGGCATCTACATGAAAAGGGCCCATTTTGTTGGTTTGAAGTTACGTATGTTCCGATTATCTTAGTGGGATTCCTCACTTTTTTACCCCAAAATTAACACGATAGTATAAAAAATGACGTCGGTACAGAAGATCAAAAAATCAGTTTAACATTGGTTTAAATGGAAGGTGCGAACAAAAAAACGTGAATATCTTGCAAAATAAATGCGACAAAGTGGGCCCTTTTCACGTGGACGTACACATTTATTGAACTATTTATTGATATAGTGATATGAGCAATAATCCACCGAATACCCCTCGAGCTAGAAAATGAATCGGGAAATATTCGATCATTTTGAAGCTTTCGGGGTGTTATAACCGATAATTTTCTGTTCCATTGAGTCGCATGGCAAACTTGAATGAAAATTTTCTATTATAATAAATAAAGTTCGGGTATGAATATAGATATAACCTGCAAAAACGTTAAATACTGCATTTCCATCGATTGCAATTCAGATGGGGGAATGATCCAACTGAATGCTCCAAAATCGTAGAAAGTTGTGACCCAAAAGGAGCATTACGGCTTATGATTTCGCATTTATCAGAGCATATATGGCTAATGGCGTTTTAAACTTGGAATTCTTCTGTTTTATTTAATCTATTTGAAGAAGCCAAAACAAATTCAATACAAAGTCTTCAATCGAAAATTTTCAGAATTTTTCGAAGATGATTGTCATTTTGGTCCCCAATTCAACTTTATGGTGATAATAAAAAAAATAACAGTTGAGACATTAATTTCAGCCCTTTTCTACTTTTTTCCCTGGATCGGACAAATTTACTGAAAAATTCTGACGTACAATAATTCGCAAGAGTCGATCTTGCACGTGGTAACTTATCGAATAATAGTAGATAGCTATCGAACGAAAAAGTACAGGGATACTGCATCCTTGAGTCGAAAGTAGCAGTGTTTCTAGCATTTTAAGAGGACGAATTAACAGCTTCGCATGTGTAGACGTTATCAACCAAGAAATTCCAAAACTCTCTTTTAAATTATAAGCAAGTGGATAAACGTGACTCAAGAAGAAGCATTCATAGTAGGATGAAAAAAAACTTTGATTCTGGTGAAGAAAGACGGTTGTTTTACCAAAGAATCCGCAATTAAAAACCTAAGGATTACAGTGAGGAACTTCACTCAATTGTGAGTTCAAACCCAAAACATTTTCGGAATATAAATATTCGATTGTTGCAATATTTTTCAATTACAAAGCTATTGTCGTAAGTTCTAATTGATATTCTAGATTGAATTAAAATCATTCCATTGTACTTGCAAAAAGTTATGAACATAGAAGATTACTTTTGCGCATAAAATTAACTCGGTATCTTTGGATTATTTCGAATATCTTCCTTATCTCTAAATCCTCTTTCGATATTCCAAGTTAGTATATCAAGGTAAGGGAAGAAAATCGAAACTAGCGTCGTCCCAACTAGAATCAACGCATAGAAATATTTGGCTCAATTATTTGATAGAAATTTAGCGTTGTCATATTTTTATATATGGGGTATTCCATGTGAACTTACCCAGGTCAAAACCCTCACCATCGCTAATCATATTGCCGATTTTTCCTGTAGTTGTATATGAAAAAATATGACTTCTCAAATTTTTTCAGATTTTTTGAGACATCCTGTGGGCAGCCATGTTTTTTTTGCTAGTTTTATCTTTAAATGCCTGTAACTTCCGTAAAAATCAACCGATTTGAGTTTTTTTTACAAAATGTGCGTCTTTGAACGCACTATCCATATAAAAATATGCCAATTTTTTTCAATTCGTTCTTTCATCGATTTCCTCAGAAAAACCTCAAAAATCTTCAAAAAACGAGTCGTTTTCAAAGTTGGACCCTTTTTATATTTTTCAAAAAATTTCAGTGAATATATTGGACCAAAATAAAATTTTTCACCAAAGGCCAAAGTGGGATCTCTATTAGAAAACACCACTCGGAAAGATTTATTGTTAACGAATTTTCAAAAAATCATCAAATTGTTCCAAATTCCAATATAATGCAGGGATTCTTCAGACGGTAAATTCAAATAATGGTTCTGGGTTCAAATGCGAAAAGAATTTTGAAATTTTTCATCCCAGATTCATATATTCAAATTGGAAATGACGGCCATGAAATGGGAAGCCTACTTTGGCCTTCGGTGAAAAATTTTGTTTTGGTCCAATATATTCACTGAAATTTTTTGAAAAATATAAAAAGGGTCCAACTATGAAAACGACTCGTTTTTTGAAGTTTTTTGTGGTTTTTTTTTAGGAAATCGATGGAAGAACGAATTGAAAAAAATCGGCATGTTTTCATACAGAAAGTGTGTTCGAAGAAGCACATTTTGTAAAAAAAAATCAAATCAGTTGATTTTTACGGAAGTTACAGGCATTTGAAGATAAATTTTGCAAAAAAACATGGCTGCCCACAGAATGCCTCAAAAAATCTGAAAAAATTTGAGAATTTATATTTTTCCATATACAACCACAGGAAAAATCGGCAATATGATTGGCGATGGTGAGAGTTTTGACCTGGGTGAGTTCACATGGAATACCCCATATATAAAAAATTTCTAGTCCATTGTTTTCGTAAATAACTTTTTTCGAAAACAATATTTTGGTTTGTATCGAATCGAACTGATTCGATACAACCAAAAATAATATGTGAACAAAATAAACTGAATTAATAGTGGAATCCCTTTCGATTTCCAATTGTTTGACACAAATAAACCTTAATTACTATTTACAATAAATTACACTTCGTTACTGTTAGGTGCATGACTTAATTCTCGGCCTTTTTTCGACAATTTTGATATTTATTTATCGCAAAATGAATACAGATCTAATCTTGAAAATAATCGCCATCACTTTGCACGCATTTCTTCCATGTATCGGGCAATTGTCGGATTCCGGCTCGGAAATAGGATGGTGGTTTTGACTGGATGAAGTCATTAATGCTCTGCCGGATTTCTTCAGGAGATTGTAACTGGGTATCCACGAGGTGATATTATAACGCCGGAAAAATGTGACAGTGTGAACGCGCAAGGTCTGGAGAACACGCCGCATGTGGAAGAATTTCCCGGTCCACCTTGGAAATAACTTTCAGGGTTTCTTTTGCTGTGTATGTTCGCGCGTTGTCCTGCAGCAAGATCACTTGCCTCGTATTACTACCACTAAAAGGTTTCTTTTCCTCAATAGCATCACTCAATTTCACCAGTTGGTCGTGATAACACTTAGCAACCTCGTGGAAATCCGTCGACAGATTCGGCCAAATAATGACATAAAATTTCAAAAAATGTCGAAAAATGTGTAATATTCGGAATTTTAACATAAAATGACCAATTTCGTCCGATTTTGTTTCACATGTTTTCCCAAAAAAATGTCATATTATGTCAAGTCGATCAAATGTCATAAAATGTCAGAATAGGACAACCAATGTAGTAATATGATAAAAAAATGTGGCGGTTAGGTGTATGGAGACACAATAATAACTCGTAGTTGTGGAATATAAAGGCGTTGTATTTATCGGAGAGATGTATTCACATCGAATATATAAATCGGACTGAATTCAACTGCGCTGTTCGTCGGGGAGCGTGCGAGTTTAAATACATTCTGATATGGAAGGTTCGAGAACCGTCCAGAAATTTAGTGAGGGACAAGGACAGAATGATGCCCGTCTCGAATTAGACGGTATAGAATATTCGGGACGCATTAACCAAACTTCGAAACAACAATTCGTCTGTGGTTCGCGCCACAAGTACTAGTTTAGCGAAATCTGATGCGCTTTTGAATTGATGACTTAGATGAGCCAGCGTTGGAATATGATGGGCGATACGACGACGAACGTCGAGATGTTCCAGGTTGAGGTGACTCAGGTGAAGGTGGTGCAGTAAGCATCTCGTTGCTGTCATCGTTCTGATCGTTACCCTCGTGCTCGTCACGTGGTAGCGAAAAAAACGGGTTTGAGGCGGTCAATGGAGACCACGATGTTTTCGCCTCTGATCTGTACGACAAAATGTTTCTCATGCCTCGATATGACTCGTTGAGGTCCCTCCTATGGAGGCGTGACGGCGTGATGATGCGCGTCGCGGCGAACGAGGACATGCGAGCAGTTCGCGAGCTCCTTGAAGGCTAAAATCTTCCTTTGGCCATGACGAGCGACGGGTTGAGGAGCGAGGTCGCCAAAGTGATCCCTCAGTCGTTCTGCGATGTTAGCTGGCAGGAGCCCGCGTCGTGGTGAAGGAGTGAGAAACTCTCCAGGTAGTCGTAGTGGCTCTCCATAGATGAGATCGGTAGAAGTCGCGCCGAGATCTTCTTTCCAGGCGGCGCGAAGTTCGAGGAGCACGATGGGCAGCGTGTCCACCCACGAGTCCCTTTCGTGACAGCGGATTGCATCCTTAAGGTGACGGTGCAGACATTCCACCAGTCTGTTCGACTGTGGATGAAACGTGGTGATGTGGATGTGCCTGCTGCCAAAGAGGCGAGCGAGAGCGTTAAACATCTGACTCTCAGACTGTGTCCCTTGGTCGGTCG